GTTGAGACAAAGAGTGTTCTGGACGTATGGGGCCACATTTCTTCTGGGTTCCTGTCACAGTCTTATTTGGTGTAAAGCGGTCAATAAATGTTTGGTAGCCTTTCAGTTTTTTTATAGACATGAGCGGCTGTTTGGCGTGGGCACAAGGAGGGTATTGGGAGTTATCCATGCCTAGATGGCGCTACAAGCGCTTGCGTTCTGCCTTAGCTTGTACTTATAGCGCACATCTCCCACCCTTTTAATCAGCTTCTTCCGTTCCAGAAATATTGCGCGATAATTCCTACGCTGATCATGGGTCGATCACCCTGTTCAGATACCTAACGGACCCGCTCGAAACTTTAGATGTACGAGTCTGTTCTTCGAACGGTATGAATTGAAAATTCTCCTCCATCCAATGTCACTTTTTCCTCAGACTGCTATCCCTTATCGGTATATGATTACGTAGGATAAGCAATATTTTCGACATTTAGGTCAAGGATATCCATGCCTCGGGCAGTATCATCTCGCCTTTGCTTTCCGTTCCACAGCAGCATCTCTCACAGGTCTCCGTCGCTTTTTTTTTTTTTTTTTTTTGCATCAGATTTTAATTGCGTATGCAGCTATCTAGCTATGACACAATATCAAAGAAAAGTACAGAATAGATGATTCATCGTTAAGGAAGAGCACTCATGCCTCAGATTTCATTTGCAAGTACCACTGCGAAGTTATGGTGGCTTTTTCTTCACCCCAAGTCAACCCTCATCCGTGAATACCCACCCAGGGGAACGTCTCAAAAACCCTGAGTTATCCAGACATGCCTCCATCATCTTTCAACTTTTCTCCGCGCGATATGTGATCTGAGGTGTCTCCTTCCCAAGTGGAGTAGGTGCCCAGGCTACTCAAACTATACCGGAGAACACCGGTCTCCGTCGCTTGTACACTCGGGGAAACTTTAACCCTTAAATATCGCCCTGAACCCTCACACCGACTTCACTTAATTCGAACATAAAATTATCTATCTGAAGCGATCCAAGAGGCCGCAAACTTGTGTGTGAGCAACGAGCCACATCTTTGATCTCTTGGCCACTTATCAAATCTTTGCCTTACTCGTACTTCGTCACAAACTGTACACCTGCTGTATTGTTAGAGAAACCAATATTAAGAGCGAATGCTTTATAGTTGCCTAATGTGACGGCTGTTAAGCCTAAGGGTTCCTGTAGCCCACGCTATCTAGCGCAGGCAATTATACGAAGGGAGGTTCCTGGGAAGATCTTGGATGACAGGGAACCTAGATGATTCACATTGAGCCTTGTTGAAACCTACTGAGAGTTCATGAGGGTTACAGAAGTATCAAGGATCTACAGGCGATTGTCGGAGAGTCTGAGTTGACAGGTCATAGAGAGAACCTTATCGAGGAGGGGTATTTCAGTCTGTATATATAGGTAGTCATTAAGTACAGAAATTCTCTCTTCAGAGAATTATAATTAAAATATTGTACCTACAACATTGCTCATGCATTTTGTAATGAAATCGTGACTCCTAACTACACTTTTTTTTTGCATCAGATTTTAATTGCACATGTAGCTGTATAGCTATGACACAATATCAAAGAAAAACAAATGATTGGTGACTCAATATAGAGGAAGAGCACTCATGCCTCGGATTTCATTTGCAGGTACCTCTGCGAAGTTATGGTGGCTTTCTCTTCACCCCAAGTCAACCCTCATCCGTGAATCCCCCTAGGGAAAACTCTCAAAACCCTGAGTTATCCAGATATGCCTACATCATGCACTGAATTTTCTCCGCGCGAAATAAGGTCTGAGGCGTCCTCTTTAGCATCTGAATCTACAAGCGAGAGAAATAACTAAGCTACAAGAATTACTCAACAACCCCAAATCGGTAATGACATTTGAATGCTGGGATAAGACTTTCCAACACCATTGCCTGTTAATAGCACTGGCTGGCTGCGGTTTCAGCAGACGATTAAGAAATGGTTTATACTTTTGTCTTTCCCTGCTACTATTTACAGTCTCTTATGGGTGGCAAAGGTAAATTTTTTTAAAATGACTGGGGTTAGATCCCTGTACATATTGCCTTAATTGGTATGATCTTCATGCAGCCCATGTCTAGTTCACAACTAGTTATGCAAGAAAGGGGGACTATCCAATGACATTCCGTGAAAGTCTAAATTATGGGGATGGTTTTGAACTCAATGGGAAAGGTACAATAGTCCTCAGTTGAAATTCAAAATTGAAAAACGTCAGTTGATAGTCTCTAAAAATGCACATCTATTTCAAAAATTATTGCTCTGTATTACAAAAGTCTACATCGAAGCCCTCAGTATGGCTCGCAACTAAAATGAAAGCGTACTAAATGTTTTGTGTGTCTTCTCCATCCTAATACTTTGTGTACCCTCCATTTGCCTTTATCACTGCTACACATCTTTCGTGCATGCTGCCAACTAGTGACAATAGCTCCTCTGAAGATATAGAGTCCCATGCATCCTGAAGCAATGTCTTCAACGTGGCAGAGCGCACAAGCCTGACCCCATTTTTCTCTGGACTATTTACCTGAATGTGGTTTTTCAAGATATTCCACAATGACTCAATCGGGTTCAGGTCCGGAGAGTAAGGTGGCCATCTAATAGGCGTTATTCCAACCTCACGCAGCGCCTCAATTGTTGAGTACGCTTTGTGACATGGTGCGTTGTCGTGCATGTATAAAATTTCTGGATTTTCCGAGTGAAATTGATTCAAAATTGGCAAAATCCTTTCACAAAAGGATGAGGCCCTCATTGATCCCCAATTCTCTCCCAGACTAGGAATGGGCCTTTTTGTGATCCATAAAATGATCCCCAAAACACCCAGCTGTTCCCATGAGCATGGCGAGCCACAATACAAGTCTCATCAAACTCATCATCAGGCTAGACTCTGCTGTTAGTACAAGGAAGATTTAGATAGAATTTAAACGTAATTTTCTTGTGACACGAGGTTTCATATGAGAAATACCCAATACCCAGGTTTCATCAGTCCACAGTATGCGACTCCATTGTTCACCGCTCCAATCTAAATGTAATTGGGCGAACTCCAATCTTTTCCGCTTGTTCACCGCGCTTAACGGAGGCTTCTTCCGAGCAATGCATCTGCTGTAACCTCTTTTTTTGGGTGCATTAGAAATTAGACGTTCACTGCATCCCCAGTGGCTGAAGGGCCCCATGGCTAGTTCCAAATAGCACATCTGTCGATTTTCAGGAGACTCCCGGACGAATACTTCAAGGTCATCAACTTGTTCCGCGCTTAATTTTGGTAAGGGTCCTTTGCGAGACATAGGATTCTTAGTCTCTCGAGCACACGCGAGTTGTACTTGACTTGTTGTGAAGCCAAGTTTGTCGGATATATTTTGAAGTATCATGCCAAGTCTTCTTAATGCTCTTATTTCTATACATTGATCGCGAGTTAGATGCTTGCGAACTTTAGTTTATGAAGCAGATTTTTGGAGAGACATTTTTTGCTAGAGTAGAGGATGAATCGATAGTGGTAAGAAGTTTCAGTGACTGTGTAGGCTTGGTAGCCAAAAATGTCGTTGAAAATGTGTTTTTCTAAGCGATTATTAGTAGAAGACGATTGGACCATACTTCATGGCTAGCGGGGTAAGGAGGAGAGACATACTAACCTATTACGAGCTAGCCCAACTGCGCCTACAGGGCTAATCCCTTCAACGACTCAGTTTGAAGTTTTACCTTTTGGAACCTAGAGGCACTGTACATGATCAGGGATTCATATCGGTATTCACGTAGGTGCCCGTGCGCGCGACGCTTTACCTTATTGCCCAAGGCATCAGCACAATATACATAATTCATGTTACCTGGTTTGGCGCCTTGAGGCCCATGCTGGTTTTTATCGGAAAATATGTACTTTAAGTAGGATGGCTCAACTTGACATTTAGAACACTCACACTCAGATTTCATTCGCAGATACCACTCGAGGTTAACCCTCACGGCGTATAACCTCTTCCGTGCATACCCACTACAGGGAAAAGCGTGAAAAATCAATGATTATCCGAAAGTGCTTTCATCATATCACAAGTACTATATCACCGCGAGAGAGAGTGGTGTGTGGGTCTGACTGGATTCGAGCCAGCTCTCTCCTGTCTCGAATGGGGTAGGTGTTCAAGCTACCCAGTATCTACTTGGGTAACGGCCAGGATGGTGTACCACTGCACCATCCAATCCGATGAGGGGATACATTGACGGGATAACGGCTTCCTGATTTATCTACTCAAGTTATGATCCATGGGGCATTGACGCTATAAAGAAGCCGTGAAGGAGGCACAGGAGGGAAGAAAGTAGGCCGGGAATAGGTACTCCTGAGATGTGACCAGAATATCTATTTTTTTGTATAATCATAGGCTCAGTATGTCATCAAACATAGAAATATGAGGATGTGTGTGATACAATGATACAATTCCTGCCTTGCGTGTATTAGAAGACCATCTAAAATTCTCGATATTTGCTATCGTAACCCTCGTGCCATTCTGTACTGCTACAGTATATAGAGCTTGTCTATCTCACTACTATTGATTAGTCCTGGAGCATATCTTAGTATCCTTTATTGTACCCATATCAATCTCCGTGCCATGAAACACTTAAGGACAAAACTGATTCAGGTTCTTGAAGTCGCCCGATGCGGATAAAAAACGAAGATATTTGGCTTGGTATTAAGCATGACGAGGTGCGAGTAGCTCATTTATATCTTTGATTTAAGCCTGTTCACCGGAAATCTCGTCTTTTTAGTAGGGGCCTTTGTACAGCAACAGAATCTTCTAAACCCGGAATATATGAACTATCTCACGTTTACTATTCCACTTCGTTTGCTGGTATTATCCAACTTCTGCTCGATGGATTTCACAATCAATTATCCTACTTCCGTTTTCCACTTCTCAGAGTATTTCCTTTGCCTTCAAAATGAGGCTGCTTTGATATGCTTTTTTCCTGATCTTTGTCTGCTTTTGCTTTCACTGGCTTAATTTCGAACCCCAAAAAAATTTGATTTGGTGGTAATCTAAGCGGACGTGGTGCATCTGTTCTTTGAATATTTGTTGTGTGCATTGTATGAGTGACAGCAGTGTTAGGAGCAGATGTGGACTTGGTAGAATTATTCGTTACTTTTTTCCCATTTAATTTATGCCCCCCAAGGCGGAAGTTGGAGTTCAATTCCTGAGTCGACAGGTTATCTGAGGGTTCATTAGGGCTATAGTTTATGGTTTTTGCCATAGTTCCACACTGTCCTAATATACCTGCCGCCGAAAACCCTGGTGGTGTTAATCCCCCAGGGTTACGCATAGGTTGTGGCTCGACATAGCCAATAGGAGGAGCAAAGTCAACTGATACGTCTGTCTCGAGCATGCTCACACCCATCTTATCAGTTTCGGGCTTCACTTCCAGCACTCCAACCGAATAAATCGTGTCGTTATATTTGAAACAGAATATATCACCTTTGGTGAGCGTTGCAAAATTCCGAAACGCTTTTTCTAGAACTGCTTTGGGGTCAGATATGTCAAGGAAGTTTGTGGATTGCGGTTGAAGTTTGACAAGTGCGGCAGATGGAAGGTCGGTAGACTTGATTTGTATTAGGTCTCCGGTATCGAGAAGGAGTGTCTGCATCATCTATTTTCTATGGTAAGTGTATGGAGAGATAAATGATTTGGTTAATTTTTACCCAGTGGGGTAAGTATAGCTTTCCCTCCTCTGCCGTGAATTCTAACACTCCACAGTGTGTAGTTTTCCCTAATTGGCCATTTATAAGTTCAAAAAGCATTGGATAAGTAATATGTAATCGCGTAAGTTTCTCAAGAGCTGAGGGTGGCATCAAGATTTTCCCTCCATATTCTAAATCATCACGTTCAGGACCACGGAACATAGTTACTGGATAACAACGGTAGTATTCATCAAAGCGTCGAGAGATGGAGCGTGAGCCGCCCCGCTGTAGCATTTGCTGATATGTAGCCATGGGATCATCATGTTGATAGTAATTTGTTCCGTACTTGAAAAACGTTAGCTTTTCTTGGCTAAAATATTTTTCAGATGTTGGAGCCAGACCATTGTGCATGAACATTTATGAAGTGATGAAGGTATTAATTACTACGATCGGGCTACAGTAGATTGAAAGGAGGGTGACGTCTCGGGGTCTTAATGATAGCCTCATAATTACAGCCTCGCGTCACAAGTTTCTCGGGTACTGGATGGATCTCAAGTATTAGGAAAACTGTCCACATTTAGCCATATGGCAACTCGCTACTCTGCTGCCCGGCCAAAGCGCGAAGGTGAAATATATGCCCGTACAATTCATGGCGAGTCTTCATCACAAATTAAAAAACCGAAGTTTGATGTACGAAATCCTTCTGCACTTGCGCCGGACGCACGCGAAGCAGATTTTATTCTCCAGGCCGATGTTATCAGAGACAAAGGAACCGGGACTAAAAGAGGTGCCGTAAACATCGATGGGTATGATTCAGACTCGGAAAATGATGGCTTCGATGCTAGAGCTGAAGAAAGGGCCAAAGCAAAAGGGAAAAATTATGGAGAAAGGGTAAGCCTTGCAGAAGCTTTTGAGAACAACAATTGTGAGAGAGGTCAAGAAGGAAATAGCAATAATAACGATGATGAGGATGAAGATATGTTTGCAGAACTTGAAAGTGCACAAGAAGACGCAAGGCTTGATGGAGGTGATGATACAAAACGGAAAGCGAAAGAAGTTCGTTTTCTAGATGAAGATGAAATTGTCGGTCAGATCTCAAGTAGCAAATCAGGCGGGCATATATCAAAAAATTTCACGCTAGATCCTTCCGAAGAAACGTCGACATTCGCGACAGAAGACCGTGTTAGTAGTGATGATGAAGAGGAGGCTCTACTGAATGCCATGGAAGAAGACGTGGATGAGGAAGTTGGTGCTGGTGGACTGAAGAGAAATGCGCCTAAAGTAGACGCTTTCAACATGAAAAGTGAACAAGAAGAAGGTCGTTTTGATGAAGCTGGAAATTATGTGCGCAAAGCGGCCGATCCGGATGCAAAACATGATGTATGGTTAGAAGGCGTCAGCAAAAAAGAAATGAGAAAGGCGGCAGAGGCTCATGAAAAGAGAGAGTCTGAATTACGAAAAAAAAGTCTTGAGGATGACGCCGTAATGCTATCTGATATTCTTCGTACACTCATAATGCGACTTGAAAAAGGAGAGACAGTATTAGAGGCACTAGCAAGACTAGGTAAAAGCCAAAACAAAATTAAGAAAGTCCCCAGGTGGAAGATGAACAAAAAAACGAGGCTTAATGGTAATGAAGGTATGATAATAGATAACCATGATCAAAACAAAGATCCTGTTCAGTCTAAGATTCGAGAGGATGTGGTAACAATTACCGAAGCTGCTGATCAACTTCTTACTCGTGGGCAGACTGACATCTACGAGCAAGAGCGAGAAATATTAATACGCCAGTACACCAGGGAAACAGGAGAAGATTGGAAAGAGCCAAACACGGTGACTGAGCAAAGTCCTGAAGATATGAAGCCAAATAAAATGTGGGAGTATAGATGGACAGATGGAAGAGATGATTTTGCCAAGCAAGGACCATTTGACGGCACTACAATGTTGGCTTGGAAAGAGGCTGGCTACTTCAACGAGAATGTAGAGTTCAGAAGGCAAGATGATACTGGGCCCTGGAATCGGATTATCAATTTCGAATAGTACTCATTTCTTCAACGGTATAATCCTATTTCATGGGTAGGGCATCAAACTCTTGAGACCAAGAAGCTTCTGACCGCATAAGCCGCATGAGTCTTCAAATATCCCGTGGTAAAGCTGTTGCTAAACATTACTTGCCACAATAAACTCATAAATTTCTTACTCGAACATATTTTATCAATTCTATTTAAATCGCCAGGAACGCCTATCATATTATCCTGAGATCATGAAATCTCCATGGCGTCGCCTAGTCCAATGGTAGTGGATAAATTTGCAGAGCCTCCATCGTTAATAAGTCGGGTTTCAAAATCACTAACAAACTTGACACTTCGGCTAGAGTCAAAGAATAGTTGGAAGCTACGATTAACGTCATCTATAGAAACCTGGGTTGCTTTTCGCTTAGCCGAAATGAGTTGTGAGGTCGTAATTAGATTACTAGCGTACCGTATGCCGGTTTCCTGCCCGATTTTGGTCAAGAGCAAAAGTGCATCGGGTGTGAGTTCGACTTCTTCTTCTTGGGCGCGGATAGATAAAATTTGTTGTATCTCTTCCTTCTGATAAGCATGTGTGCTCACGATAACCACTCGATCGAGAAAATCGACCGGAAGGCCGTGTGGACTTCGGTAATTTGTGCCGCGGATTCTAGTTTGCCCCCTATTGGATGCCATAATGACGATAGGGGCTAGCTCATCTTCAAGCGCACGATTAATGTAGGAAAAGCATTCAATATCAAGCATGTGAACTTCATCAATAAACAGTACCCCTGGCACAATTTCGGCCTTCCCTTCTTCTTTCCATTCAGCCACTTTGATATTTATCTGATCACGAATTTCGCTTCTAATCTCACCAGTATCTCCCGAGAACAGGGCTAAAAATCCTTGAGTCCTTGAGTTTATCACATCGATTTCATGAAGGCTGACAGTGTGTACCATGTCTTTCCTCTTTTGTAGATCTCCGTCTGGACATTGAACAAACTTGGTATCAACGCCCATTGCATCGTAGTCGCGTGATTTTGCAAATGAGCGCCCTAGCTTTGTTATTTTTCCGGAAGCCTTATCGATGGAGATTATATCTCCTGCCATGATTCGTTCTTTTGTCATTGAATCAATCATTTTACTGCCCATATCGTAGATTGATTCCATATCAGTAGTCTTTATAGTCAATTTTCCTTGCTTTGTTGCTCCAGTTACGCTTCTATCTATCTGTATCTCGACGACCTCGCCCTCGATTATTTCACTTTCCTCTTTGATCCGCACAGCTATCGATTTACGAAGAGCCTGTTCAAGAGCCTCGGTTTTTGACATTTCTAGTGAGAAAATTTCGGATGAGGCTAAGGCTGTAAAAGGAACATCGGGGCCTAAGGATTGTGACATTCCCATCGCTATTGCTGTCTTTCCGGTACTTTAATGTTTTAGTATGAGTAGATAATTTGTGATTATGAAATAATTTCTTACCTCGGTGGGCCAGCGATCAATACAGCTCGGCCTGCAATCTTTCTATCCTTAACCATTTCTAAAATTATGGCTGCAGCTTTTCGCGCTTTCTCTTGCCCAACGAGACCCTGCGATGAAGCTCTCGGCTCGAGAGTTTCTGGATCGACTCCCAAGCCTCGAATATGAGAGTGGGCTGCAATGAGATTGAGCCCCCGAAGCTCTTTGCTCTCCGACACTGTTTGTATGGCCTACTTCATAGTCAGAAAATTGATAATACTGCAGATTTATATCTTGTTTATACCATGGCCATTTTGAAGGAGCGAGAAAATGGATAATTTTGGTTTGTTGTCGGGCTCGATTGAAAATTGTAGTACTGTCTATGGCAAAGGTGCTCGTGCGTATATACTCTCAGCGCCCAAAACAAACGCCTTGTTGCTCGGTAAACTAAGGAAACAGTAAATAATTGCTACGCTACTTTAACTACAAACGTCCATGACTTCATTTAATAGAATAAATCCCGCCTACAACAATTGATCCAAATATAATATGAATTTCTTTTGAAAATTTGAGGAAAATAACAAACACTTCGAAAAGTTGTTCCAATGTCACGGTATCTTCATACTGAGGTTTTGATAAAGTGAGTAATCTATTTAATGAACTACTTGAGTTATTGATTACCTAGCAAATTAGGTTCCTCTCTGACTTAGGTCACACCTTGTATGTTTCCCCTATCTTTTTTAGTTACTTGAAAGTTCTCCGGTGTTGAATTATAAGAAGGGTTGTCAAACATAATCATCCCTACAATTTAAAATAATGGAGTTAGGGTTGTGGTTATTGGTTGCCTAGGAGTTAAAAAGTGTAAGGCGTCTGTTGATTTTATATACCCTGTATTAGTTGTTTCATATTAGCGTGTGGATGAGACTAGGAGCGATACATTAGAGGGTGCGAGATCGCGATACTTCTATAAGCACGTAGACGTAGAGACAAAGACTCACGCAACGATTTAACCCTATACTTTATCAAATCTACTTCCAAATATTCCTGTAACAGTACTAATGTATTACCCGTCCAGAGGAATCATATTCTAATATCCGGTATAATTCTCGGGATGGAAAGTTATTCAGCTCAGTACTTACCCGTAAAATTCAGTCAACTCTTCCAAGGAACCTTCTACTCAAAATAATTGTAGCACTGAAAACTGCGTGCGCGGGAAAAAGTATCAAAAACCTGCAGCCCCAGCCAGGCGAGGCCTAGACACCGGGACCATATGGGGTGCGCATATTCATCTACATCTCCCTTCTCTGTAACAGTCGAGGCCGACTCGATCCAATCCGCCATCTCCGTATCGGGTACTGGGTACGCTCTGGAAACTCATCTGATGGATTTTCCTCTATGATCAACGGTGGGTTATGATTAAAGGCTCGACCCAACAACCTGATCTGATCGTGGTTAGCTTCATGATAATGGTGATGAAGTGTTGTGCTGAGATATTAAGACGATTCAGAGCACAAAAGTAGCTGGGAATCCTCATCGAAATGTGGACGGCGTAACTCAATCTCGGCCCTGCAGGCTCATATTATTATTTTGAATTTAATTTCATTATCCTGATTTGGCGCCCTATTGACCCATGCAGGTGTCTACAATCTATAATATTTACCCGGGAGGAAACCTTTATGGTGGAAACCTCCCTCACCTTTCTGCTTGTTGTCTAAAGTTCTCACATATTTTCTTCAGGAAGCGCAGTTACACTATGGTGCCATCCATGTAAACCAACTAGATCATCTCTATCCGCCCCAAGCATCATTCAACCTTTTCCTTTCCCTCAGCAGTATTTCGGCCGCCTATGTCATCTGGAATTGCTCTATCCAACCATGGTTAAAGATCCATAGTGTGATTCTTTTCATATCGCTGGGATTGTTAGTCAATGCTTCAAAGGATCGATTTCGGGCTTGTCTCCAGATTTCTCTTCTACCGATTGACCATTTAGGGCGGGACATTATCATGTGCTTGAGATTTTGTTATTGGTAGCCACACGGACAACTTAGGTGATAAACTCCTGGTACTTTTCTTCTGCGTAAAAAAAATTGAACCCGATATGCTCGCTTCGAATTTGGGTTGCTAAGCTACTTTGGGCCACGTCAGGTTTTTGTGGAGAGAAAATGGTGACTCTCGGAATGTTATTTTAGTACGTCCAGAATGGCGGCATTGGTTGAAATTTGCTGCTGCCCAAGTTTTGGGGTCTACTGAAGCAAATCTTTTATGCTGTTGAGTTCGCTTTGTGGCGGACCAAGATTTCGCTCATTCCAGGTACGCTGCAACCCTTACCGATTCTTTTTGTAAGTCCTGGGATTTCCCCTATCTGCAAATCTCTTTCCAGTGTGCAAGATCTGCTTTTCTATTGTATGCTCTAATATCTTCCCTTCTTCTTCTGGGAGGCTTTATTTTACTACATGCCGATTGGATAGCCTTTCGGACTGGTAGAGAATTTGAGCGGCCTGTATACTGAGCCCTTTGTTGCTTCAAGTTGATTTCTATCGGAAGAGTAGCACTTTCATGTTCCGGCACCCTGGTGCTGGTAGATTTGTATGCCCCATTTACTACTTTCAGACAATTTCTTTGAGAGCTTCGAAGGGGTTTGACTATCCTTTGAGGTGTTCTAACTCCTGGCGCCATATTTTTATTACTATTTGTTAGAATTTGGAATAATTGGGGCTATCAAGTAGGCCACGTTCCCTGGGTGGGTATTCACGGATGAGGGTTGACTTGGGGTGAAGAAAAAGCCACCATAACTTCGCAGTGGTACTTGCAAATGAAATCTGAGGCATGAGTGCTTTTCCTTTACGTTAAATCATCTATTCTGTACTTTTCTTTGATATTGTTTCAAATCTAGATAGCTGCATACGTAATTAAAATCTGATGCAAAAAAAAAAAAATAGGCCACGTTGTTGGTACACATGAGGATTCAAGATTGACAAACCTCTAGATTACTACGAGGCTCTCATAAATTGTAATGCTTATGTAATGTTGTTCATGTTGGAGTCCGGGCGCAAGATTAGGAATACTGTACTTATATAGACGACACCCTGTATCAATAGAAAATCAAGTTACATCTAGTCTTAGGCTCTACTATACATATTAGTAGTTTGGAGCCACGAGACACCCGTAACCTACGTCATCTTAAAGCTAAGCTTATCTCACTTTTCATACATACTAATCCATCAGGAACCTCACACAAGTCACTACTTATTCTGTACTTAGTTTCACTTCGGTAGTTTCTTGAATCAATGCGCTCTACAACCTCAATGACTGAGGGGTAATTATTTCCTTAATAACTAATTCATTTTATTGTCCTGTCTGAGTCTATGACTATGAAGGACACGCAGGTCCTCTCTGCCTACAGGCCAAGGATACCTATGCCAGTTGTATATCCCCTCCTATGCCTCCCATACAGCTCCCCTCAAACAGTACCACCCCTCACAAGTCCTCATTCGATTATACACTTAGAGGAGCCCTTAGCCCTTCAATATCTCCCCCCTCCAGCCAACGAAACGATGGCCATTTGCGGGTGTATGGCAGCCGGGAAAAATCGCAAAAACCACTGGGTGCGGAGCTCTCCTAATACAGACATTAGGACTAAATCCGAAGACATTGTGCCCCTTCAGAAGCGTTCGAAGAGGCCGGCCAGCTGGGCGCTGCAGACTTGTGGGTACCTCAGAGAATTCACACTCTGCCTTTCTAACCTCCTTCCAACTCCTTCCCGAAGGTCGTGCTGAAATGTCAGGAAAGTCTTGACAGAGCGTGATTGCTGTGTGGTGGCTTAGCCCAACTTCTTTTGCACCGTTGACTCATCCAAAATAGAAGGCCTCCTGGCTAATTAGCCGAAATCTTGGTCTTGGCGCCCACAAACGTTCCAAAGTTGGAAAGCCCTCGAGAATATCAGTCCTAGCATGGTCTTCAGAGACCTGTTCACCCTCTCGCTCTACATCTTAGGCGTCTATTCTCCCTCAAGTTGTTTGTCCCATTAGAGCAACAGTCCCCCATAAGCTAAGACCCAAGCTTTGTATTTTTCGACTTGATTTCCTCCTTGCGGGTTTAAATAGCGTCATAAATATGTAGTGAGAGATGGCTGGAAACCAATGGGGAAAGCTTCTGTTTGCAATTGGAGCAACTTCTTTATTGTTCGTTGAGGCGAGAGGATGCGTGGTTAGAAAGAAGCTATGGACTCAGATGAGAATGATAAGAGAGGCACTGTCGAGAAGTCTTCAAATTGAGATATGCTTGAGGTTGCTTTCGACTTCAAGTGGTACCAGTGTAATCGCTCAGTACGCTTTGCATATCTGTGATAGCCAAGAAGAATCGCATCCGAATCGAAGGTGAAGAATTCGTCTTTACCGGCCTGCAGGCTCATAGGGGACACCACTTACAGGTGAGGAGTTTCGTACCCCTGTACCAAAGTAGAGAACCTATTTGATCTCGTTACAGTACGAGATTGAGCCAATAACGTTTACAAGATTTAATCAAGAAAATCGTTTACACTGTAGCTCAGATTCTATGTCGCTTATACTTTTTCCCATGGCGCATATCTTCCACTGTTGTAGACAAAATCTTAACAAAATACTCTGTTAGCCAACACCTTCTTTCGCTCCAGGGTGTTGTGCATATTTTACCGCGCGATATTTTTGTGTTAAAAATTTGGGAGATCATGAGACCTAAGATTCGTTAAGGCCGTGTCTGGGGGAGAAGCTTGCGCACTGTCGTAGTAAACCGTGGCCCTTGGGCGATCGAACTTGACCTGTTGTAGACAATACTGAAGTCTTGGGGGGGTTCGGTATTTTTTTTTATTTCTCAGGTCCTAAGCTATGCTGTTTATTTCCTAGGAGTCAAGGAACGGTGGTTCGGTTATTTCCATGGGTTGAAGTTCTAATAATTAATGGTTATTGGCCTGAAACAGTCCAGCTCCGCCATGTCCTTTCTTAAGTTCCCTGGAGTGCAGAAGGTCTCAAATGCCTTGCTCTTAAATTTACTGTTGGTACAACAGAGCTCACTTGGTTCAATGCCTCAAAAGTGCTATAAACAAGTGGTATCATTCTATCTATTCTCCCCTCTTCTCTTTCCTCAAGCACTAATATCTAAAGGGGGACTATTCTCAACACCTGTCAGTGGTGTCCCTTACAAACCTCCGGCTGTCACTGTAGAGTCTGCAGAGCCAAGATTGAGTAACACCTTATCAACTTTGAGCTGAGTTATCTCCCCCTCCGTCAAAGATACGCTTCCGATAACCCACAAGACGACAAATATGACGATAATGATGCTGGGAATGAGGAGAGATAATGCGGTACCAAACGCTACAACGGTAGTCAGAGAAGCCCTCGTTATATCACAACATGTGCTACCCACCGGCGGGCG